TGCCCACAGCTGTTTTCTTACATTCCAGAGCTGTGTAGATGCTGCCGAATCATGGGGTGACACCTGAGCAGGTCTCTTTCCACTTGGCAGCTGTCCCATGTCAGGTCACTGTGTTATCTTGCCAGAATAAGCAGGAGTGGGACTGTCTGCAGCTTAGTGAAAGGTTTCCAGAGGAAATGTGATAGAGGAGAAGTGGCACAGGATAATTCGATAGGGTCTCCAGCATCCTCACCACTGAATCAGCAGAGCAATGGGAGCTGTGTGCTTTTGGAGAAGCCACCTTTCATGTGAGATGGGTGCTGGTGGCTAACAGCTGTCTCCTTGGGCAGTAGCTCCCATCTCTGTTTCCTTTGTAAACTCAGTTGAAAAAGGAGTTCTGGAAATGCTGCCCTAAACTTGTGTGCGCTGTCGGCAGTTGCCATGCTTTACCCTAGAGGGAGTTGCTTTTCTGCAGTGGGAGCAGGGACCTGTGTGTTCCTTGGACGATGTCAAGGGACCGGGATGAAAGGAGCTACCTGGGTAAACACCAGATCCCTGCTGCTGTGCCGCCACTGCAAATATTTATTTATTTTCTGGGGAGATCGGTCTCTGGTGATCGTCTGTCTCCTCCTGACAGTGGTGTTTTACTGAGCATCACTTGCATTTCCCATGTCTTGGGCTTTTGCTGCTGTTTTCGTGGAGGTCCCAGCGGGGCTGGCATTGAGCAGAAGAGCCAGAGATGTTACTTCGGACCCGACGGGCTTGTGCTTTAAAGCGTCACTGTAACTCCTACAGAGGAATGACTGCCTTTTTCCAGGGTTATCTGACCTGTTTCAGGGTAGTGTGCTTGGGGTTTCTTCTCTTTACTGCTGCAGAACAGCAGGCCACACAGCTTCATGGCTGGAGCATCTGCCCCAGAACGATGTGCCTGCTGATGGAGGGAAGGAGAGAAAAGCTCAGGACTGTTTTGAATTCGGTATTTTTTTTTGGTATCATTTGAAGAGATGAACAATTTGTTTTTAAGTATTTTTAGTGGGGTGTGTGTGTAGCTTTTGTCCCAGAACACCCTGCAGTGAGGACTGCCCTGGTTTCCACCTCAGCCTGCTGGCATGGCCAGCCCGGGCTGCTCTGTTGCTGTGTGCCAAGCGGGGCGCTGCAGCCGCTCGAGCCAGGCATGCATTTGGGGCCACGCAGCCAGCAGCACCCTGGGATGGGCAGCAGGGCAGGGGCAGCCCTATTGTTGTTGTTTTTGCCTTTTGTAGAGATGCCCACGCTTTTTGCGAAGGCACTCCCTGTTGTTTGGGGGCAGTTGTTTGCTGCTTCTGGGTCTGCTTCAAAATCGCCTCCTTCATGGCTCCTGGTGCAGGTGATATGTGCGTGGGCTCAGGGGTTTCTGTGCTGCTGCCGTGCTGGGCACCAGATTTGCTTTGTGAGTGTGTTTTAGGCTGAAGAGACTTTGCATTTTATTCTCCAGGTTTTGTTTTTTGAATGCACATTTCAACTGTTCAGAAACACTGAGAGACAACTACTTGCAGCAGCCTGAATTGCTGGCTAGTTTTCATTCCTGCATATCAGGGCAGTTGATTTCAGTGTGAGTATTTTCTCCCTAATGAAAAGCAACAGTTTTTGTTGTCGTTGTTGTTAGCAAAGGCAGTTGTAGTATGGCAAGCTCCCCGAATCCAACTGCTGCGTGTTGTGGAGCTGGGATTTCAGAGGTTGACTGAGGCTGTTTTGCAAAGCCTGGTTACTGTTTTCTTTGCAGCAGTATCCATGCCATGAGGGAGGGCTGCTCTGGTGATGGCAGGGGGACATAAGCATGAATCTACTTCCAAAAAATACATCCTGGTGCTAGCAGCAGGTGGCAGTAGCACAGAGCCATGGGTCACTCGTGGCCCCTGCAGAGCTTGGAGCATGTTGCCTCTGATCAGCTAGGAGCTTCAGCTTGTTGAAGTGACGGTGCTTCTGCTGTCTCCCATGCCTAAGGTGACAGTGCCGTACTGTGTCTTGCTCACAAGTCCCATGGGACCCGCTTTCAGTGATGTCCCTGGCGCTCTGAAAGCCAGCGCAGTCGGTCTGAGCTGGGAATGTGGAGTGTGTGGTGAATTAATGAATGCCGAAACTTCCTCCTGAGAGTGCACCCTGTGGAAGGCACGGTGGGAAGGTGGGAAATTGTTTTGGGTTTTGTTTTGCCCTCATTGAACTTGCAGGTGTCGGAAATAACTGTGGTGAAGCTGCAACAATAGGAGCTTAGCTATTGCCCAGCAAAAACCATCTGGGGAATAATTAAAGCAGGAGATTTCAGTGTTAAAGCGGAGTACTTTGGAAAGCTCAAGCTTGTGAAAGCAGTGATTTTTGCAGATCAGTACTGTTGGGAAGCCTGTTGTAAAGTAACGCATCCTCTAGAGCTGACCCTGTCTTCTCTGCAAGGGCTGCATGGCACAGGCTGGGTTTAATCTGCATCGTGGGAAGCATCCAGAGCAATGTAAGTGCAGTGAGGTCATGGTCCCAGTGACATTTAAGTGCTTCAGCTGGCACCACAGTTTGGGTTGCCATGATCACACCCTCTCCAGAATGGAGAACTAGAGTCACTTAACAAATTCATATTTCAGGCTTCTACCTGCAATGTGGTGAATCTATTTTTTTTTTTTTTTCCTAGAGAACCTAATTGCTATGAATGATGCTTTGAGCTGCAGAGCTGAGCTCCTGCAGATCCACCTGGGTGCGCAGAGTCCTGCAGTGACTCCTCAGAGCTGGCCCTTGCCTGTGACATCTTGGGGAGAGGCGATGCCAGAGGGAGGGCAGCGCAGGAGGACTTGGTTTTAACGTCCCTTGCTGAGACCTTCCTTGTGCTCTGTTTTCATGAAGCAGCCCGGCTGCCACGAGCTTGTGCAGCGCCAGGTCGGACCTGTCGCCGCTGACCTTCCAGCAGGGAAGGCTCCCTCGCAAATGCTGGGCAGCGGCTGCTGGAAGGCAACTTTCTGCCAGTAACAGTGGAAGTCAGGAGGACCACCCAGTTCTGATAAGGGCAATTTAGAAAGGAAGGAGAAGATTGTGAAAAGAGGGGCAAAGGGGCACAAAGGAGGGGGGGGGTGGAGAGAAAAAGAACAAAATGAAGATCAAGACTGCTGTTAAACACACTGCCTGCGAGGGAGGTCTTGATCGTGCCTTTTCTAATCTAGAGCCAGCAAGGATTGCATTAACAGCTTCAACGCCATGGAACAAATTAATCCCTGATGTAATTGAAATCGGTGAGGTCTCACAATAGGTGAGTTTGACCCAGTGGGATAGAAATAGAACAAGTATTGGAATGAAGTAGTGAAATGAAGTCACACTGTTAAGACACTGGTATTTCATTCCTAGAAACAAAGGCCAGACAAATGCAGAGAATACATGGCTCTGCTGGGCATGGTTGAAAGCTGCTCAATAATATCAAGCTTTGAAGGGATATTTCTGTGCAGGGAGGAAGTATATAGGAGAGATATAACAAGCATTAGAAAGAAAGACAAAGAAAGAAAGGAAGAAAGAAAAAGCCCTGCTTGCTCATTGACTGGTAGCTGTAGTAAAATTAACACCAATCCTGAAGAAGAAGAAAAAATTACAACTGGAGAAAAATAAAAAGTTAAGGTCTGAATTGTGTTTGCAGAGAATCTAGTTATGGTAAAAGGCAGTGTCCTGCGGATAGCCATGTGGTTGAGGTACATGGGAATGGTTTGCTTCGGTTAATGGAGGTAATGGGAACTGATCCCATGGGGAAAGAGGTTCCTTATGGTCCAGGTAAGCTCAGTGAGCAGGAAGCTCAGTCTTGGTCCCTTTGGCACTGCCATGTCGTGGCACAACGCAGGCTATTGTGGAGGGAAGAGTGGATGCTGCAGGGGTGGGCTTGCCCTTGCATATGGTTGAGCTGCTGCTTTTGGTAATGTATTAACAATGTCACTCGCATTGCAGGTAGTGACCTGGTTTTGAATCAGTGAGAACAGGCAGATGGAGGGATGTGGAGGATGCTGCTGGTGGTGCATGTCTGATAGAACTGCACTGCAGCAAAACTTGGGTGCTGAGCTTTGCTCCAGTGGCAGCGCTGGCTGGAGAGGCCTGGTCCTGCAAGCCTTCCCACCCCTTTCCTTTCCTGGTTTTACACAGCGTGGCTGTTTCTTTACATCATTAATCAAGGCTGAAACCCTGTTCTTCCCCAGACTGAACCATTTCCCTGGGTGGAACGAGTTTAAAATGTCACCATCTAGCAAATGGTGCGTTTTCACAGTCCTGGCTGAGATTCAGCCCATCATCAAAAGGAGAAGCTTGGTTTTCTCGAAGGCATCATCGTCTTTCTCTAGAAAGCAGCCAAGTACTCAGTGATAGGCCATAAAACATTTGCTTCCTCAGGCCTTCTCAGGTTCCAGTTTTTTGGCACTTCCTCGTGGTTTTGTGCCGCACTCAGCAATACTGCCGTCCGTCATCGGGTCGATGGGCACTTTGCTTTCAGACGGGCAGAGGATGCCGAGGGGGGCAGCCGGGTGGTTTGGCCGAGCCATGGCTGTCTCCCTTAGGAGCTGTGTGGCTTGGAGGGATGAAGGCTCGAGGAGATTTAACACACAGCCTCTCCCAGTGTGGCAGGCAGCTCTCTGGAGACAGCAAGGCTAAAACTGCAGAGCAGCTTTTGGACCCATGTATGTGGCACCCTGCATGTCCCCTCTTCCAGGCCCCAGCCGTTCTCCTCATGTTGTAGCCAGAGCCTGGGGGGTGGGCAGGAATAGAAAGGTGGAGGGGACCCATGTGCATGGCAGGTGGCTGCCACAAACCACCAACACAATGCAGCTGTGAAAATGGCCAGGGTAGGCCAGGCGTGTGCAGTGGAGAGGGTCCTGTGACCGCGCTGGATGGTGGCGAGAGCGCGGTGCTGAGCTCCAGCCCCTGCTGCGGGCGGGAGCTGCTCTGGGGTGGGGGCTGGCGTGGGGAGTGGGCATGGGGTGGTCGGCGAGGAGAGCGGGCGAACACGGCCGTACTTGGCTTTCTTCCTTCCCCAGCATGGCGAAATGAAGGCTGGGAGGAGAGCGGAGAAAGGGAGCAGCCTGAATGCAGTCACAAGGAGAAGCGCAAGGGGGAAAAGTGTTGTTCAAGCTCAAGGACGCTGTTGGTACAAGAATAAATAGACGTAAACTGGACGTAAGTACACAAGTTAGAGAATTTATGACATAGAGCATTAGCAAAGTCTGGTCCTAAAACAGCCTTATAAGGAAACAACCCCCCCCAAAATGGTTTATAACTCAATTTGTGAATGGGCTATGCAGTAATGTGGCTCTTGTGAATTGAGATTATTTGGCATTTGGGTTTTAAATAGGACATTCATGTTTTCACCAAAGAACAACAACAACCCCCTCCCCCCAAAACAAAACAACAACAACAACAACAAAGTCAAATACTTTGTAAGCATCATGGGTCTTTTGTGGAGTCTGGGAGCCTTGTGTCTGTGTTGTTTGAATAACCAATTTCTTGGTGCACCATGCTGCCCTTTCTTACTGGGCATCCTGTAGGGTACATGGGCATCGTTCAAGGTGACATCTGCCAGGACTGAGAGTGACTTAGCTTTTTGGAGATTTATTTTTCAAGGAAAAGTTACTGTTCTGTGAATAGCAGAAGGAAGTCACTTTGTAAAACAACAATGAAATAAAAATCTAAATTATTGTGTTATTGTGAAAGGTTTACATAACATTTGTGCCATCCTGGCAGTGTTGCGTCATAGCCTCTCTCCTGTTGGATGCACAGAGATTTGCTCTGAAGTGCTCTCTCCCTTTGCTTAGGGTTCCTGCATGGGGCACTTTGTTAGATTAATTTCCAAAAAAGCACAAAGAAGTGAGTACCTCAAAGCAGTCCACATCCATGTATGTCTTGCTTTGAACTGGGCTGTATAATGTGAATGTAACAACATTCTGGCTGTGGATTGACTTTGCAGTTAAGAATAAGAAAAAGCAGCAAATAAGGAATGCATTATGTTTCACTGTATGTCAAAGAATGACTGTCATGGTGAGCTAGCAAATCTCGTAATTGGCATAGAGGAATTTTGCCAAAGTCATGGAAGCAAAGCGGTTTGTTACTTGCCTTTGCAGACTTGAGAGAGATCTGTCTTGGATATCCTCTTGTTGACCTTATTAAGTTAACTTTCATGTGTTTAGAAGGTCACGGAGAAAATCATTAATATTAGGTTGATTTGATGGCTGAAAGGTAATAAGTATTTCCTGCTTATCAGATTGGGTTTTGAAAGGACTTTGAGTTGCTTGATTTGTTTATCTTTTGAAATCAGTAAGGCCCTCAGTGAGAGGGATTTTGTATTTCTAGTTCAGTTTGGGGAATGACATATGGTTTGCTCTCTGATGAGGCTTGGAGACTCTGTACGATAAAAAGCAAAAAATCAGGAAATTCTGAAGTCCAGCTCCCAGCTAATTTGGCCATGCTGTGGGCCTTGGACATCTAATGCTGTAACGCTTTATGACATGAACAATAACATATTAACTATTCCCTTTTACCGGAAAGCTAAAAATAGAAAATGAGGAGTGTGCAGAGGTTGGTTGAATGGAAAGCCAAATCCCGTAAACATGGTTTGGCACTGTAAGGATTTCATTGACCTTGGCGGGGCTTTGATTGCTTGCAGTTCAAAACAACGTGGTGGTGTTTTCAGAATTGTGGCATGAGCTTGTGTAGGACTAACATCACGGTGCTGCTGTCAGAGGCTTTTGTGATTCTTGACTGTTTCTTGGATTACTTAATGCTGAAACCCTAGGCAGCATCAGCAAAATTGTCTTTCCCTGCCCTCCATCTGGGATTTAACAAATATGATAGTCATTCTTTAAGCTGATGGATCGTTGTAAAGTTATTTCAAATGAAATCCAGTCATTGTTTGAAAGCCATTCCACAAAAAAGCACTGAAAATTTCCCACTGTAGTCTGTCAGAAGACGAATTAGACGTTACTTCTAGTTGCTGTGACTGAGTAGGAGTTAAGACTACATGGACCTACCTTGAATGCTTGGGTAAGTAAAACAGAAAGCAAAGAGAAGGGAGAGCTGCTTATTTTCAGAAGTGAACATATTTCTGGTAAGGCATTTTAGATGCATCAGTTGCTTGAGGTGATTTTTTTTTTTTTCCCCAAAAGGACTGCTATTTATTCCCTTGCATAAACTTCTATATTGCAAACTGTATTTCTGGTAGGCTGTTGTAGTTGTGTATTATTGCTGAAAAATGTGGTGATAAATGGATGAAGAACTGTTTGGAAAGGAAAATAAAGGAAGAATACAAATGAAAATGAATGTGATGCTGTTAGACTTTGCAGACTATAAGCAGCAGGCAGAGAACTAGATGGAGCTAAATGACACCTGCTCTTTGGAGATGCTAAAATTGTCCTCCAAAGGCAGTGAAGGTCCATACCAGTTGAATAGATTTGCAGAATAGACCACAATGCAATGCCAAATAGCAACAAAATGCTGGAGGAGATAAAGTAATGTAAGAAATCCTTTTCTGTTTTAAGAGAATGTAAGTCATGTTCCTGGTCTGGAGCTAGAAGATGCAATTAGCCGTTGATTTTGGAGAGCTGTTGTGATGAACTTTGGATCTGTAGGTTTGCTACTGCGGGCAGTAAGGATATTTCAGCAGTTCTGATCTGGTGCTGCAAATTTACTTTCCTGCTGGCATGTAACACTGCTGGGTGACCCCAGACGGCTCACATGCAGGTGCTTGGCCCAGGGCCTCATCTATGGTTTGTTGAAGCGAACGGAAAAGCAATGGTAATTTCCAGGGAGTTGGGTTATGTGCTTTTTGCAGGATCTGCAGTTACAAGGTGGTTAGTGTGGACGATCAGATTAAAAGGCAAAAGTGGTCATTTTGTGTGTAATGTTTTCTATGCAGTAATGACACATTAATGGTTTTTTAAAAAAAAAGATTTCATTTTGCTTTGGTGAATACAACTTAAAGCCCTAAAGTTTTAAAGTGTGGCTAGGACTTGAAGACATTATTCGTTTTTGTGTGGTTGTGATCGTTACAAAAATACATTTAGGGGTGAATGGACTTGGTTTTAGGTGACTTTCTTGAGTGAGTGCTGGCGATCAGTTACCGAAGGATGCATATGTTACTAATTTTTTTTTGAGATTTATGAAGGAGAGCCACTCTTTTGGTATATATAAATGGACCTCCTTATCTCAGTAAAGTTAGCTGCTTGAGGGAGTACACTCTTTAGGGCAGGGATACTGTGAGAATGGATTGCAGCAATGATCAAATAGGTTTTATCTCATGAAATCAACACTGCATGAAATTTTATTTTAGAATATTGATACTCTTTGCTGTGGGCCAGATGCAGCCCAGGCTGGCACAGCTAATTCACTTTGGCTATGCTCCAGCAGAGCATCCTGTTTCAACAAAGTGATTAAGCATGTGCTTATCTTTAAGCACACAGCTAAATCCCAGTGATTCACTGCTTCTCTGCATCAGGGCTTCTTGACCAGGGGGACAGGTCAGGCACAAGGAGAGAACTTGCATCTCCACCTTCCTTTTTCAGGATTTCTTCCCCTGCTTTAGAGCTAGGCCTGTTACTAGAGGGGCAGACTGGCACAGGCCTGGATGGCCCTGCTGGCCACTTCTGATCCCTGCCACTTCTGTCCCCGGCTGATCCCTGCCAGGCCACTTCTGTGCTTGGATGAGCTGCTGGGTGCTGGAGTTAAGCTGCATGCCCAGCCAGGCCTTCAGCTGGGGGGAGCCCTGTTCTGGGGAGAAATAGTTGACTTCATCCCACTGCATAAAAGCTTACCCTTCTCGAGCTGGGAGGAAGCGCTTTATTATCTGGTTGTCATGCAGTACCATGCAGGACAGTTGTGAGAAACATGTTTGGAGCTGTTTGCAGCACAAGGTGGCTCCATGGATGGCCCAGAGGCCATGTGTGCACTTTGGCTACAGGCTGGGGCCTTCATGGTGCAAGTGCTTGAGCTCCAGGTGAACGCAGCTCATCTCCTCTAGTGAGAAACCTCTTAAGGAGGTTGCTTTGGCAAGTTAAAAATCTGTCTTTCACTGAAAGACCTTGTGTTATATGTGGGGACTCGGTTGGACTGGTGACATGGGTACGGTCAGGGAGGATCAGGACCTTTGAGGCTGGTCCTGGGCCTTGTCCTAGCATACCCCAGGGCTTCATCCTTGTGAATTTGTGGAAAAGTGCTTAGGGACGAAAGCTGTTAGGTACAGATAGGAGACCAGACACAGCAAAGGAAAAGTGTGGGGATGCTGGTTCACCCTGAAGGTGTTTCAGTGCAAAGAGACAATTAAAACACGTTTTGGAAAATAGATCGCCTTTTCTATTTGAAGTTTCCAAGAAAGCAAAACAACCTTCCCTTCCCCCTACTTCAAATCCCACCTGTTTTGTTTTTTCCTAGAAAAAATGTGAAATTCATTAACATGTGGTGAAAGCAATGGAGCGACGTCATCTTGATTTAAAATCTGTTTTAAATCTTAGAATGGTGAAGCCAGAATCTTAACTGCAAATAGCCTTGCTTTTGTGGGTACGAGGCAGACTGTTGACATTATTTGAACATCTCTATTTTTAGTAGGTCAGCATCCTTTGTAACAATATTATTTGAAAAGAAAGCAAGAAGAAATGTAGGAAGAAAAAAAAATTAATATTATTCATGTTAAAAGCCAAATCCTGCTTGCTTTGCTCAAAGGGTAGCTCTGGTGACCCTGGAGAGGGAAGCGAGCAGAGCTTGGCTCAAGCAAAGGCTCAGCTCTGCTAGCCTCATGCCATGTCCTCTTGGCAGGTGCAAGGGCTAGGCGTGCTCTTGCTTCTTGCTGTGCTGTTTGCAGGGAGTGGGAAATGTTGCTTCTATTACTTGTGTGATTCTTGCCTGTCACTTCTGTCATCCTGCTGACTGTCTGTTTAGACACAGCATCACCTTGAATCTTCGCTCTGCAGCGTGTGTGTCCAGCTCCTGCAGTCTCCTTTTGACTTCTGACAGTAAAATAAGAGAAGTTAAATAGGTTTCTCTCCTAGGACTTGGGATTCAAATAGCATAAACGCAGCATTTAATAAGGGCAGCAAAGGCAATTCTGTAACATCCCTGTGAACCTCATTGCTGTTGCCACCGTGTTGAATATAATGTTTTTGTTTGTGTTGCTTAGTGAAGGTCTGGTGCTAAGCAGCACTGCCAGCCTGAAGTTTTCCTCCTGCTGCTGATCCGTGTGTCTACTTGATAATTGGAAAAGCTAAAAAGTTCTTTTGAGGTTTTGACTTTTAGTGAGTATTTGGTTATTTGGCTTTGAAGTACTTGCTGGTATGAGATGACAGATGTAGGAGGCTTAAGAGGGTCTATATTCTGTGCTTTGACCACTTGCTCTTATGTGTTTTAGGCCAGAATGGACCTTTACAAGGACTTATTGACCCCTTTTCATTTTCATCGTGAGCTCCATCCACCCACTAATATATCAGAACATTGCTGCTTTCAGGCTAGAAGGACAAGCGTGCTGTAGCTGGAATGTGTTAGGAGTGGAAGTAGTAAGTCCTGCTAGGAACAAGTGGCATTCCTTTGCCAGCCCCAAACCTAGGTATTCCCGTGTGATTCCCGTGTGATTCTTCTTGTGGATTTCATCTCTTACGTGCAAGTGGTACAAAGCATTAGAACTCATCAACAATAAGCAAGCTTTGAACATTATTTGTCACGGTCAAATTAAAAATTGCCTGTTGTGTGGTAGTGTTCTTGTGTGCTTCTCAATAATATTTTGCTGCTTTTGGTTTCTGAATTATTTATTATACTGTGAAGGGAGTCTGTCAACAAAATATTGTCTGTTTGTTGGATTTGTATAGGCAGTATGGTCACAGTGGTGCAAAAGCTCTCAGGGCAGATCATGGAGTGATTTCTGGTCTTTTGTATTGTTTGGGTGTGAAGTGCTTTTGGGTGTGTGCTGCTGAACCTCCCAGTTGGGAGGGCCTTCTTGAGAGCATCTTGGTTGCCTTGGTCCTCTGACCTTGGGCAAGCTGGGATGACTCTAAAGCAAAAGCAGGAATCCTGTTTCAGTGTTTCTTGGGAACCGTAAGTTGAGATTGGAAACAATATCTCCAGAGAAGGGCAGATATGGCTGAGAAAGTTTCTTGTAATATTTTAAGGTTGTAGTTAACTAAGGTTAATTTAATCTATTGGCCAGAAAAAACACAGGAAGAGGCGCAAGTGCCCAGAACCCCGCTGGTAATGACCTCTCTGCTGGACGTGTCAGTTGTGCTCTTGCTGGTCCAAATGATCTCTCCCTGACTTGGAGTGGACAAAGATGCAGCAAATGACCTTCAGCAGTGATCAGGCTTCACTAAAGCAAAGCTGGAAACAAACATGCTGAAGAGGGCCCACAAACAAATGGCACTTTTATCATACTAGATTTTATGCCTGTGTGTAGCTAGAATCCAGTCTACTAACATCAGCATAAATAGGTTTTTCCCTTAACTTCTTCCCTGCCATTAATCCATGCAGCTGCTGAAGGTGAAGCACGAATTTTCTGAAATGGAATTGTCAGTCCCCTTTCTCCCATACATGTCTGCGTAACTTGGTAGAGTCTATGCATATGCAAAAGCGAGCCTAATTTATGGTCAGTGTGGCTGACCAGGATTAAATCAAAGCAAGACCGAGCAGAAGTTTTTACTCAGAAAACCCCCCACAGTTTGATTGTAAAAATCCAGGTTTGGTTTACTGTCTAGAGCCAGCTCTGGATAGAATTACATTTTGAGTGCCTGATACCACGGCCTTCGACTGTCAAGTGAAGGCCAGCCAAATCTAAGTCGTCTTGCGCCATGTGCCCTTTGGCAGGTTGATGTGTAATCTTTCTATCCAAGATGCTTATTTTGTTTCATAGTTTATTCTGTTCTCTTTCTCCCCCACCCTCCTTCCCGCTTTCAGATGTTTGTTGCCGAGGAGAATGTAGATTTTCGGATACACGTGGAGAACCAAACGCGAGCAAGGGACGATGTGAGCAGGAAGCAGCTCCGGCTCTATCAGCTCTACAGCAGGACAAGCGGGAAACACATCCAAGTGCTGGGCAGGAGGATCAGTGCCAAAGGAGAAGATGGAGATAAATATGGTAAGAATATTTACTGGGATCCCCCAGACTCCAGTTCAAAAGCTTTAATTCACTATGTTGGCCTGAGAACCTCATGGGAGAAAAATGAGAAGAGCAATAAAATGCAGAGGATCACAGGGAGAAAAAAAAAAAAAAAAAAAGGAAACTTTTCAGATTAAGAACATGGAATTTACAGTGCTAGAGCAGGCTGTCAGCTCACTGCCCAGCTGTGGGCAGCTTCCCACAGTACAGTAATGCCCCAGTTTATGAGTGCATGATGGTGCTTGAAGACAAAATTAATTTTTCTGCTTATCAGATGATCTTACAGTTTGCCTGGTGTAATTCGTAAATGATACTGAGGTTGGTGACTTGGAATGTTTTTTTCCAATGAACTCGGGCCCTGGGCTTAGCAACTTGGGAGCTGTGGTTATGACCTGGGCTTGAGTTTGGATGAATCCCATTGCATGAGTGAAGCATCCTCTCATCTTTCTGGGTGTGTGTGTTTGCTTTGAGCTGAAATTAAGCAGACTTTTGAGCTTTGAGTGCTTAAGTTGAATTTTGGGGCACGTAGATCCTGCAGAAATGCAACTAACTTGCACAGGCTAGCAGTATGTTCAACTATTTTTGTCTTGATTTGCACATAAGCATTATGATAGAAATGCCTCCAGGAGGGTGTACTATGCAAAAAAACCTCTCTAATGCTGGTACATTTGGAGATGGCTTTGGCAGAGGTATTTTGCTCTAGTTGTTTTAGGCCTGAATGACTGTTGTTGGAAGGGTTTCAGGGCTGTTTTGAGAAATGGTCCTTTTTCTCTTACGGACATACAGTCCGTATGTGTCACTGCAGATGTGTTCGTATGTGTTGGCTGGCATGCACGTGTCACGTGAGGTTGACTTCATGTGCCGTGCTGGTGAGGTGGAAATGGGGTACGATGAAGGGCAGGACAAAATATGGGAATTGTTATTCCCTCAGGGAACTTTGGACAGGATGACATACGGTCCGTGCCTGTCAGCGGGGCAGCTACTGCCACGCCAACATGTGCAGAGCTGTGCCACTGGAGGTGTCAGCTAGAAAGTGCCTGACTGCTGTGAAATGAGCCCCCAGAGCTGTTGTGCAAACTCACCCAGTCTCAGGAAAGGCTCTGCCCTGAGGGATTTTCAACCTTGTCTTTTGTCATTCCAAAATTTTCAGAGAAAACAGGAGTGCAAAGTGCCACTCAGCTGCTAATTATTGTGTCATGTTATTACATTCATTCTCTTAAGGTTTGATATGTAAACTAGTCGCTGTGTGCTAGCTGCTGGCTTCCCAGGAAGCGCTCCTGCCCGCGGTGAATGTCAGGTAACGTGATGCAGTTTGCTTCTCCGTGAAAGAAGGCAGCATTTACAGTGGGGTGCAGCAGGGAAGTGTGCCCGTGAGCAGCTGACAAGTGCTAATTTATGTGTCAAAGCCCATCTTGTCCCCTTCATACATATGCAATCATGTCTGAACAACAAATCCTAGCGCAGGGGAGTGCTCGTGACCAGTGGAGAAGCTGCACAATTGTAGAGCCTTACATTTCCAGTCTGAAGAGCTCCTTGGCGTGCACATTGCTGCTCGCCACCAAATCCTCTCTGCTCCTGGTTGCTGGCATCCTTCTAAAAACCCGATGTGTGCTGACTGACCGCTGAGGCCATTTGCTAACACCCCTGCCTGCTCCCTCCCCCTCTCCCACTAATAAAACTCCTTGATGTGTCAAGCTGCAAAGCCTCCCCATTTCTAGCCATGCTGAAAGGTTATGGAAATCTGTTCATCATCTTGCTTGGCACAGGAACACTTAGAGCATGATAATCGGGGAGACAGTGAGGTGGGGCATGGAGGTCCAGGATGTGACCATGCAGAGCTCCTAGCTGTGATAATGAAGGGGGGAGAGATGTCGGAGTTACTGAAGTGAGAACCATCTGTGTTACAGCCAAAACTGGATACAAAGGCAATGACACAGGATTCATTATGTGCTGGGAACCCCTCCCCCAGAGGCATTATTATGGAGTAACCTTTGATCAAGACCAGAGAGAGGCTTAAACCAGGTCTGGGGATCTGAACAGTTGCGAACTTTTGATCCAAATCTGTGTAGCTGGTCAGAACAGCCTCTGTAGGAGGACACCTTTCCTCTTAAGCAGCAGATGGCTGTTTTTCCTACTGCCCTTTTTCTCTTCTTTCTTCCTTTCCTGCCTTTAAGTTGGCACAGTGAGTCAGAGCTAGGCTTAGCATTTGGGAGTGCCCAGTTCCCACTCCTTTTCTTGGCTGCGCTGCCCTTGCAGGCGATGCAGTCTCCCGCAGCTTTTCCCCTGTCTTAACCCTGTCCCCACGGAAAGGCGAGATCATGGTGGAGGTGATGTGAATTGATGTTGGAAGGATTACAGAGACTAAGTGTCAGCCTGGGGAAGGCTTTGAGAGGACGAGCAGGAGCCAACATCTGAGAAAAAGCAACAGATGTGGGAAAAGGTGCCTGTGGAGGTGGAACGTGAGCTGGCTCCAGCCCTGAGTTCTCCTGCCTACTCCTTCCTGAGCCACGTTACAAACCCAGGCAGGGCTATCTCGAAACGCCTGTGCTGGGCTCCAGCTTTGCAGTCGTGGGGGACAGTTGTATCCCCCTGGGCACAAGCACAGGCAATGCAGAAAGGTGCCAAACTGGAAAGCTGTGAGATGCAAGTGTTACCGAGCGTGCTTCCAGCTCCAAGTCTCACTGCTGCAGGGTCCAGGCTGTGAGCAGGAGGCTCAGCAGAGGTTAGGGGATGGAGCGTGTTAAGAGTCTCTGCACTGGGGGCAAGATGCTGTTTTCATGGCTTTTCAAAGTGATGCTGTGTCCTTCCAAGAACTCAGCCCAATTAAGAGAAGCTAATATTAAACAAGGGCAGTGCAGACTCGGGCTTAGTGTGGGAAGTACTGCTGAGAGAGAGAGCATGGCTATGGTCCATAGTGCTCATCGTGAACAATAAGCACTAGCCAGGTTAAAGGATGGGGAGCTAATAACATTTTAGCACCTTTCTCCTCCCATACATTCACAACTGGATAAAGAACAGTGTGTCCAAGTGAAGAGATGCCTTTTATTTTTTTGCACATACAGAGCTTCCAAATGGCTGGCGTGTGAGGGTTATTCTGCCTTTGAAGGAGGGAGAGTTGGTTAGTTTTATTGCAAGGTTTTATTGACTTCTGTAAAACTTCTCACCTCTTGGTTGAAGAGAATGCCCAGAAAAGAGGGGAAGTGACAAATCTCAGGCAGTGAATTGCTCGTTTCCAGGCAGCCATCACAAGCACAGCAAAATGACTGAGCAGTCGTGGCTCAGCAAGAGAGCATTCTGCAGGGCCAGGAGAAGTCCAACGGGAGGAAGCCCCCCTGAATGTTTTATCTGGGCCCGCGTGTCCCATGTGCAAGGAAAAATGCAACTCTGTAATGCATAGTTTTACTGGCATAATAATTCTGGTATGTGATGTTTGGCTTGTGCATTGTTCAGGGCCAAGATCTGGCCCCATGTGTGGAATTATTAAATGGCAAATTAAGTCAGTTAATAGAATTAATTGAGTCGATGTAATCCTTTTAATCAGATGGATTTGATCCCTTCTCAGATGAATTAGAATCCATTAACAGATAAGTCAATTATTGGACTAAATTAAATCTAATAATAATGCCTGCTGCTCACAGCTACACTAATTAATCTAAATACACTTACCTATCTCCCAAGGTTGTTTTCTTTTAAGGCTTAATTGATGTTCCTAAAGTGCTCTGAGATCTTTAGATAACAGACGGATCTATGTGAGCAAAATATTATCTCTTAACAGACTATAAACTAATTAAATGACTGATCTATTTACAGATTGCATTTTTACTTTAATCTCCTCAACCTATTCAGAAGAGTTTGCACTGGCCCAGAAAAACAATATTCCTGTTATAAGCTTATTATTACTTTACAGGTTCCTAAGTGGTCCTTTCATTCAGAAAATGAAAGGGGGAAGGAGAAAAAACAACCATTAAAGTGCTGACAAAAAAAGAAAAGGACCTGGAACCTTTATATTCTACCTCCGATAAATGGTACAGATAGGGAAGAGAGGGATCAGTGACCTGAAACCTTAGATCCTTTCATTTATTTTCATTTCACAAAAGGCAGAAGACATTCTATCCTGTTTGTTCACTATCTTTGTATCCGGTGCAGTTGGTGAGACAGAGCTCTCTTGGTTGGGTGAAGGCATTTTTTGCCTCATTTGTATTTCACAGCCATGTAATTTTTGTTTTAAAGTGTCTGCTGTTGTCCTGAGGGGCAATGTGAAGTGACAGACGTGAGGGGGATGTGAGGGGTGTTTGTGCTCACCCTTTCCTTTGAGTTAACTTTTATTTAGGGCAAATACTTGGCTATCCTTAAGGTGAGGGCACTGGTGTACATAGACGGGTTATTAGCTAGTGTGCTACAGGTTATCACCCACTGCTATTTTGTCCATTGACCTGGTCTTTTCCAGTTAAAAATAAATAAATAAAATCTTCTCATTTATGGGAGGCTTTGTCTGAAGATGCCCCACACAAGGGACACAGCACACAGGTACGGTCTCTCTCATCCCCAGCATCCCATCGGCTGCTGGTGCTTTTGGCTGCTGGATGGACTGACCCCAAGCCTGGTGAGGTGCTCTCAAGGACTCCCTCTGGGCACAGGGGCTTTTAGCTCAGGACTCAACAAAATGCATGGGAAGTCCACGGAGTTGGACTGGCATCAGGTGGACCAAGAAGGGAAGCAAAAGCATTGTGCGTGCACGATGAACCTTCATGTATCACAGGTGGCGTACACATCACTGCACCCTGTACTTTCTGTTTTGGTGGGCAGATCTCGAGCTCTGAAGGCTGCAACCAGCATCCTCATGTGTGCAGGGGAAGCACAGAGCTTGGGGAGATGGGTTATCCTCCCTGGGGCTGTCCCGGGCTGGGTGATGTGCCCTGCAGCTGGCAGTCCTGCCGGCTGTTCTGCTGCAGCTTCCCAGAGATGCCAGTGGACAAGCC